CAATGAGATCGCTCTGTCCATTTCTTATACTGTCTGAATAAATCCAAATGAACTGCAAAATACTACAAAGAATGTTGTTTACATGTGCTCTTTATTCTCACGGTTGCACGGACTGTTGTTGGCCAATGCCATTGTTGCTTTTGAAACATGCTGGCGCTGGTTCCCCATAGTGTTTTAGGATGCAGTGTCTTGTTCCACTTCTCAGGGAACCATAGTTGCATGCGTAACCTTATACATTTTTTTTTTTAAAGAAGTCTCTTTTTATTTGGCCCAACATACACTAAAAACAGTAATATTATGAAATATTGGTCAATATTATAATAATAATTCTCTTTCAATATATTTTAAAATGTAAAACACAATTACAAAATGTTTGATTATTTGACGATTAGAAAGAACAGTATTTATTTGAAATAAAAATATTTTGTAGCTTTATAAATGTTACTTGGCCAGTTTAATGCTAAATAAAAGTACTCATTTCTGTAAAAAAATCTTACTGACCCCACAAATCATTTCCTCACTAGATGTGCCATGACAAAGTTTTTATTTTATTGTTATTGTTACACCTACAGTACAGTACATGCACCTACATGAATAAGTCGGTCTTAAAATGGCCTTCCCATGTTTCTACTCTCTCTTTTCTTTCACCCTCATTTGTTTATGACCTGTATTTCTCTTTCTCCCTCCATTCCTCATTCTCTGTTCTTGAGCTCATAGCTGGCTGGACTGCAGAACAGGGCTGCTTGTGTTTTTCTCATCATACTCTTGACGCAGGAAGTGTGTATGTGTGAGGTGAGGACGGTCCAGACGACTTCCAGACAACACCTCTCTCTCCACTAACTACAGACAGCAGGAAATGTCTGCAGTGTTAGATTTGATTTCAAGAACTGTATTAAGGGACGTGGTGAAGTTTTTTAAGCATTATTTGTCACTCTATTATTTACGCATTATTCTTGCAGTCACTTCTTGGCCTCAGTTGCATGTTGTTCCCCATAGATTCCTCAGCTTTGTTTTTATTTCTTTTAAATAAAGTCCAGACCAACTCAGTCTAGTCCTGTAGGATTTTAGAAGAACAATTTCGGTGAATGTTTCTGTGAACAGTTCCTAAAATAAACTTTGTCGGGAAGAAAATATGATCCTGATGGCTTTAAAAACTGTATTGTTGATAGTTAGTGAATAAGACGCAGACTTTTGCCTAAAATGCTGCCTACAAAAAGCGGCTTCGTTTAGTGAATTCTCCCCATTGTCAACAAATGATTACTGTGTCATGCAAGTACGTGGAGTGTTTGAGACGATTCATGTGAAAAGTGAAAGACTGAGAGTAACTGATGAGAACAAAAGCTGTCCTTTCAGTTCATGCTAAACAACTGTAGCTGCATGTGTATTTTAGCTCAATAGAGTACGTCATAGACGCCATGGAGATGCAATCCATGCCTGAAAGACAATGAGTGAAGTGCTGACTGTTTGTGCTCATTTACTATGTCAATGAGAATGTGTGTGGTCTTTATTGCATAGATAAAAACAGTTCTATACCTTTTTATCGAAGGTGCACGTTTATAATACATTTGACCCTAGGACAACATGCGTTAAAAGTGACCAAATACACGAAGGACTTTTGCGTGTGCCGGAGGGGTGCTGCTAAATGAAATCCACATTTGTTAATCGTAATGCACTGAAGCATCATTCTGTGCTGTTGTTTGAACAAAGTACCAGCTGCCATTATGAGTGAACTACTTTTCTTGCTTAATTGGAATTGATACTAGCTGGATTCATTGCACAACATGCTTTATTAGCCTAAAAATCTCCCCTCATTTTTAACGAAAATGTCCGTCAACTCCAGGACATTCAGGAAGAGTTAGGAGGAAAACCTTTTATTAGCATCTGCGTTGGCAAGTTCTTCTTTATGATGTACTGGTGTCATGTTACCCTAACAGACAGCTGTTACAAGCACGCCTCTCCCGATCACTCTCTCAGCCTTTTTATATTCCCATGCTGGTAGAAGGATCCGGAACAATGATGTCACAACATGCTAATTACAGACTGACTGGTTGGTTGGTTTGGTTGAGCACAGACTCTAATGAGGGGAAACGGGCTGTTGTTGTAATTTGTGTCACAGCTCTGAGTCAAAAGCCTAGAGGTCACAATCTGGGAGGCTTCCAGAGATCAGAAGCTTTGAGGACAATAGGACATGATGACAACGGGCTGGTGTAGATTATCCCCATTCAGCGTAAATTCCAGGCGACAGAGTAAGGGGATTCTAAATAAGAGGTGTTTAAATGAACTACACTGGAAAAAAAAGGTGTACGATTCACTTTGAAACAATTTCATGCAACTCATTAGATCCATGATGAGTTTAGTGAATATGCAGTTTGCTGCATGTTGCGGTAAAATCATATTTTTGCAGATTTGCTTAACTTCTGTTAAAGATACGCCTCTTTACAATCTATTTGAGAACAGTGGCCTTTTCTTGCAGTTTTACTTTAAGGTTTATGTTGAATTTTTAGTTAATATATAAGTGGTTTATTTATTTGAATTCTTTACTTTTTAATTCAAGATTGTTCAACATATTTTACATTGAATACACATTTAAATTAGTATTAAAAAAGTTATATTTTGTATATAGGATTAATAGAAAAACACTTTACTTGAAGGGGTGTGCATAAGACTAACATGACACCTTCATAATCATGACATGACACATGTTATGAATATGAAGGAAGTTTTATGCATGTTTATGACTACTGTCATTAAGTTTCATTCACTCAATTGTGACATTTTTAATGCAAATATGACATTGTTTGAGATGTCTTTATGACACCTTGACCAATACATCATAACTTGTCAGTGTCTTTGTCATGACAACTTGACATTACTAAAACAACACAACCTGTCATAAACATGACATAGCAGATTAATTATCAAACTTAAGAAAGCACTTAGCTTTATCGGTTAACATTACATTAAACTGTCAGGTGGTTGCTTTTGACATTGGCTGTCATGAGCCCATTATAACTTTTTAATGATAAATTCAGTGTGTACCACTGTAGTTGAGGTCACAAAAAATATTCATGACAGTTATAATGGCCTTATGACAGCCAATGTCAAAGCCAACCACATGACAGTCACAGTTTAACTTAATTTAATGTCAAGTTGTCATGACAAAGACACTGACAGGTTATGATTTTATACTTTATGTCAAGATGTCATAACAAAGAAGACATCGTAAATATTGTAATATTTGCATTCCAAATGTCATTATTGAGTGAAAGACACTTAATGACAGTTGTCATAAACATGCATAAACCCTATTTCATAGTCATGATATAAGTCATGGTTATGAAGGTGTCATGCCAGTCTTCTGCACACCCCTTCAAGTAAAGTGTTACCAAATATTATAACTCTCCACAAGTGAATAAATAGTCTCCTCATATGAGGCATCCAAGGGAGGAGTTTTCAGAGATTAATTTCAGGCCTTGACAATGACAGAGTGTATTATTATGAATGTAAAAGAGGCATGAGAGATGATTAAATGTTCCCAGCTCTTACTGGACCAGTTTGATCCATGTGCGAGGATGTTATTACATACAATTATAGGATTTACTTGATATTTCACTTTTGAATAATTCTTAGAAAAGTTTTCCCAGAGATTAACCGGTTAATGATGTCACTCAGCTCAGCTGTAATGTACCTGCCACAGCAAGTTTGACAGAAAACCAACCGATAGATTTAGAGATTTCACCTGACGTCCAAGGAAAAAAGTACACAACAGTGTTTTAGTTTTGTGAGCTGAATATTTTTGGGACCAGAAGCTCATGATAAGAGTAAATGGCTTATCTGACACTTTTTTTTTCTTCGAGGGAGAATCTGAAACAGTGAAAAAATCATCATAATATAAGTCATGAAGTCACAGAGTATGCCCAAAATTATTTATTGTGCTTTGAATGGGAATTGAACACCATTGGCAGTTTCATCAGCTGCCGTTTCAAACAAGAAGTCTCACAACACAGGTCACAGACGGGAACCCTCCCAAAAGCATTACAGGTTGTGATCCCCATTCCCAGAGCCCTTTAGATGTTTCACTAATAGTTACCCTTAAGCAGAGAAACTGGGTATGGACTATCCCAACTAATGCAGTGTTGCACTTCAATTGCACTAAACCTCAAATCTTATTAATCTCAGAAACTGAGTGCCCCACCTGCATTTCACTATTTGCTTTGGTGTGGCCGGGTGGCCCTGATACAAACTCCATTATTTTCTCTCAGCCGCGGTTCCAAGTAATAGTCCCAGTGCAGCCTATGAATGATACATAACCACAGACAGCTGTGACCTGGGTTCAAATGCTGTTTTGCGATTTCATACACTGCAATTACACTTGTTATTAGAGCTAGTAGCCCCAAAGAACACTCGGTTACAAGTCTTGACTTGTGCCAGTCAAAAGTAGAGCCTAACCAACAAAGTGAAAAGTCATAGGCCATGACAGCGGGCATCTACTCTGATTGAGTTCCTGATGGATAGACTAAAGAAAGAGTGATAGATAACATTTCTGTTCTGAGAACATTTGGTATATTACCCCTACTGGAGTTATGCACAAAACATGTCCAATATCTGGAGCTTTCTGGGATGGTGTGAATGTGTAGGATAAAACGGATGGACAATGAACACATGGTGCTCATGCCTAAGCCCATTTACTGCATTTTAAGGTGACGTAAGTAAGTGAGGATGTGGTTTTTGTTTGGCTGAGGAATGCAAGGAGGGCCCATGATCTGTTTCAGACTGTGTAAGGTCAGGGGTCTCTACTATTGATATATTGACTTTTCACCCGCCTCATCTTGAATTGCTATCAGCACGACCTTGATTTGGTCAGTTTCAGGACATTGTTAAAATCTGGTTTCAACAAATGTTGTAACTTAAGTCTATCAAAACCAATTTCTGAAGTGTGGTCTGCTGTTTTTTTCCTCCAGTGTAACATACTGATGTATTTCACTCTTTGTCTTTTTCAGGGCTTTATTTGCATATGAGGGAGTGACCAACAATCTAAAACTTACAGATTCAGGAGGTAAGACTCCTTCCAATGACTCTCTCTTTTTGTGCTTTTAAGTTGTTGTTTTTTTACCAATGCTCAATAAAGCAGCAAATCATTAAATCTGTTGTTTTAAAACTACATAATTCAAATACAATTTTCACAAATTGGAGGAAGTTCCATGGAAACAGGAATAACAACAAAAGAGCTCAACAGTGGCCATCCACTTCTATTAAGCATTGTGAATGACAAACACATCGATTTGAATATATTTGTATGTTTATTACATACAAATGTATTCTTACATATACACACACACACACACATAACATATATAATTGTATTTCATTTTATACTTATAATCACTGGTTTGTTGTCCATAGTTTTTGTAACTTTGTTTCTACAGCCATGTAAATATCAGGACAATTATTTTAGCATTGTAATAAATATAATAAAAAAGTTAATTATGAATAAATCATGGAAAGGTTATGTACATTTCTGATGAATATAAATTCTTAGCTCTAAAATAATTTGAGAAATTGCTCTTTGTAAGTGCAGTCGCCATACATTTTTTTTAACCCTCTATGTCCGTCGAAATGGCTGAAAACTAAACTAGAATTTTATACTTAAAATATTACCAATATTCTAATTGTTCTCGAATTTAAAAGGCACAATTTCAGTGAGGTGGAAAAAAGCTTCTTGTCTTGAAAAAAATATAGTTATATAGTTATAAATCCAATATTATTTTGTAAATTGCATAAAAATATATTTTATTTATGCATAGTTTAATAATAAGAGCCAAAGTGCCGATCACACAGAGTACTTTTTTTTTGCATTTAAAAACAGAAGAAAATCCCCCCTCAGTCTCAAGAGTTTTTTAGAAGTCGAACTTCTTTTAACATATCGTGGCTTTTTAAACATTCTGCTCCCTTGTGTGAGACTCGAGTGCAACGGTCAAAGATGTCCATCTAGTGCATGTTTTACATAGAAAACCATTGAAAAGGAGCTCATAAAAAGTGTTCTGTGTGACCGGCTTAGTTATGGTTTTGATTCAACCAAGATCTTCTCCGCATTGAGCTTCTCTATTCTGCAATGTTTTGAGTGAACAACGCACTGCATTAACTGGACAGGCAGGGGTGCCCAAACTTTTTCCTACGAAGGGCCAAAAAATCAAACTTGATTGTGGGCCGTGGGCCAAAAGTAAATTTTGCATCATAAATCAAACGGTATTACATTAAAGTTGCTATGGGTTTATTCATTTTATAATATTTAAAATAAATATAAAACAACTTCAATCTGATTTACTAATGCTGATTAACTTTATTTGTAAAGTTTTGCATTTTAAAGAAATCCCCTTTTCCCGGACGGTATGGCGGGCCAAATCAAAGGATACCACGGGCCAACTTTGGCCCGCGGGCCCTAGTTTGGGCATCTCTGGGCTAACAGAATCTTTACAATGCAACAACGACTCTCATCATCGCGCATCTTGTTCACAAGTAATAAAGCTGGCGGATGCAACTAAAATTCGAATGCTCCATTTTTGCATTCGAATGTGGATTTTTATTTTAAATTCAACGAATAAGTCATTGCTTAAAAGGTTTGGAGTGCATTATGTCTGGGATGAGAATGACATGGTTCATTCATAAAACACATTAAACATGCTAGGACATTTGTCTTTTTTCCTATAGAATTTTTGGGATAATTTGCCTTTATTTATATGACAGGAGAATAGACAGGGAAGTACAGTAGGGGTGAGAGAAGGGGAGTGGGATTGGGACATGTCCCAGGCCAGCCTTATACCCAGGATCCCACTAGCCAACTACTCCTAAATAATGTCCTAAGCATGTGTGCAGAGTTTTTGAAATTCCTATAGAGAAAATGAATGGAAAAAACACATCCAAAACCAAGGTGGCTTAAAATGTGGACAGTCAGAGGACATTCATGTGTTAAATGCTGCTAAATCAGAGGATTACCAATTAAGGCTGAACTGCCAACACTGTTCCTCTTTAATATCAGATGAAGCAGAAAAATCTCACTTGAGTGCAGGAAAATATACCGGCTCTGCTTATTACAGTCCATCAGAACAATCCTGTTCTTGATAGATTATCATGATCATAATCTGGTAAAAGAATGCAAGTGTTTCATGGTGGCTGATGCGTTTTCTTCCATATGGTCAATATTTGATGAAGACGCTTTGGACCTTTTTTAATTTTGTATTTCCCTTCCCTCTTTATCTCTCTCTCTCTCTCTCTCTCATCTGCCAGCTGGAGGTTTGACAGAATTGGTTGGGAAATTTCACAACAGCAGGCTCATGTATGGCCTCTGCAGGGTGGGACTGACAGAAACAGGACAACCACAGATTGTCATGGTCTGCTGGGTAAGTTCATATGAAGAATAATATGTTTATATCAGTTTATTTCAGCCATACAAAATGCATGCAGACATACTAAACTGACATGTAGCGGCTGAGCTCTCTCAGCTCTTTACATAAACTGCAAATTGACAATATCCAAAATTTTAGATGGAAAGTCAGTCTCCCTTTCCCCTTCTATCGGGGTGCTTCAAACATTTGTAGCTTTTCTAACATACTTCTGGATGAGGTCATTTTGCCTTGTTCTGATTGGATGGTAGAACTTTATACTTAGCTCCTATTGGATGTTGCCATGGGGTGTGAGCCTGAAGTGGTTCCTCATTGGTTGGAGCTTCCGCATCTTTAAACAGACCGTATTTAAGCGGTGGATGTGAGGCTCCTGTTGATGAGACGTGTCAATGGCTTCACTTCACAAAAGAGCTTTGACCTTCAGACTTCAGTAACTGAAGGAGCTCAAATACTGACGGAAAGAAGCATTCTGGGAACCTTTGTAATAACCATCATGGATCTAGTTGCTAAGGCGAGAAGTGGGAATGTTGTTGTTGGGGTCAGAGGTGCCATCTGTAGGCAGTCAGGCATTTTATAGTGGGGGGGTGGGGGGTGGGGGTCTCAGTGACCAGTTAACTGCAGAAGAGACATTCTTGTGAACCAGACTGGTACACACACACTCACAGACTCACACTCTCAGACACACACACACACACACGCATTTGCCATCACAGGAATAAAGTACATTTTTTAAATAAAATAGAAAACAGTTGTTTTAAACCATTTCACATTATTACTGTTTTATTGATTAAATAATTGCAGCATTGATGAGTCCAAACTTTGAAGCACAGTGTGACTTTTGGGGATATTAATGGTGTTTCTACATTATATGTCTCAAACTATTTGTGTTTTTATTTTGGTTATTTGAAAGCTTGAATCTCTTAAATATCATGGTAATGTCAATCTTACAGTCCCTTCTGTCTCCATAAAACAGGTTGGTAATAGTGTGGATGAGCATCGCAGAACTGAATGTGACAGCCATCTGCCTGCCATCAAGGCCTTCTTCAAGGTAAAAAAACACAAACAAACAGTCGCCCACGACTAGGCTTCCATAATACAGTTCCTGAGGAAAGTTCATAAAATCACAGCAGCATTATATTTTAGCTGGTTACTTTACTTGTTCGGATGATTCTTCTGACATCCTTCATAGATAAAACTCTGGAATACAATGTATTTTAATAGTGTGCCCATTTGAACGTTCATTAATCATATTGTAGTGCCGCAGTTACATTTGGAAGGATTTGGATATGGAGTGAGTTAAATAATGTGTTTCTCTTCCTCATACATTAGAGATTTGTCTCATTCTTGTACACATCCTGTGTTTGTATGGCTGTAGAATGTCCTGCATCCTTTTTGTAGGGCGTCTGCTCTCTCTCTTCATCTCTCTGCAAAGAAACTTCCCTTAAAGCTTTATAGAAAACATAGAGAGAATGAATGTCATTGGAAGTCATCATAAACATGCACATAAATTGTACTGCAGTTATAGTTTCTCATCTTTTAGGTGTTTACGATTGCATTGAGAAATATGCAATGTGAATTACATATTGAGTAGGGGTGTAACAATATATCGTGCCACAATACATCGCAATACAAAAATGCAACAATACGTATCGTGGATAGTGACAATATGTATCGTGGATAGTTTCCCAAAATAAAAATTACTGTGTGAGAAAAAGTTTTAGCGTCAGTACTACATTAAACTACTATATATAATGTTGATTAGTATGTATAATAATGCAATTGGGGAATATTTGTGGGTTCTGATAATCCCAAATGACTTATGTAACTTGACCAGTAAAAAGTGGCCGACATTATTTTAAATATATCTATTCTAAATGTATTAAATATATCTAGTCAGAAAAGAATATTCGTCTAAAATAATCTGTAATTTCAGCTTCAGAATCATGAATATTGTTATTCTGGTGTCACCATTGTCCTTGGGTTACAAGCACAGAGTCCAAACCTATTCATTTAAACCCACAATGTAATATCAAATTTAGCATTTTAATCAACTGTACATTTTTTGTTAACCTTTTATCATATGTCTTGGAGTCTCGCAATAATATTGTATCTTGAGTTCAGTATCGTGATATGTATCGAATCGTGACATGAGGGTATCGTTTCACCTATAATATTAAGATTGTTAGACTTGTCTAGTCATAACCTCTGATCAGATATCACAGTTCTCTTTTTTCAGTTTTATAAGATTTTACCTTTCTTACATTGGTGCATTGTTATAACAAATGGATAATAATGCATTTTGTATATCCTTTGGTCAATAATAAAACAAAAGATATTTATTTTTTTGACAGACCCAAGTTTTTATTATTTAGATTTATTAAGTCCACATTTCATTATGCATTGACCTCTATTATATACATACAGATCCTGAGTGATCAGTCAGATTGAGTTGAGTGCTGGGTTTTTGTTAGCTAAACATGCTCTACCAAATGGTGAGAGGCCATGAAAGGGTTAAGACAAACTCATGTTTTGTGCCTATTTGAATGAATGGGTGGAAGATGTAAAAAAGGCTCACTTTTCTGAAATGTCAAACCCTCCTAATATGTGTAGAAATGCACTCCTCTGCTTTATTCTGAGATTTCCCTCTTGCAAATGGTTTCCTTCCTTCGCTAGTATCTGTGAAGTGATGGCTAACAGCTTGTGCCAGCTCTTATTGTAGTAAACTCTTCCTCTCGTGTCATGCCCTATTGTTCTCCTGAACGGCCGAGCAGTGCCACTGACAGGCACCACACAAACTGACTGACAAGAGCGGAAATTTAAGTGAGAGAGAAATTCCTAAGGAAAGGAAAAGGTTAAAAGTGTTTGTTATATGAACTAGTGCTTTTATTTTCAGCAGTGATTTTAGCGTTGAGGATGATGCTTTATGTTTCTTGGATATACTGTATATGTGCATGTCTCTTTAAGCTTTCTGTGAATTTATTTACTTCACCACCCAGGCGATGTTGCTTTAACATTTCCATATTTTTTGGATGGTTGTATGAGATCGTCAAACATACTTAATGTCTGGGACATTTTTAATGCCTTATAAAGACATTGCCCAGTCAGCTCCACAGGCATGCCAAGAATGCTGTTTATTCAATTCTCAGTTCTCTCTCTCTCTTTTGAAATCGACAACCTTTATGACCCTGTGTGTGATAAATGTCACGAGTGGGTTACAAAAGTGTCTTTTATTCTCTTTCTGTATTATTAGATTCCTTATATCTACATTTAGATCTATATATATAGATCTTGTTGGGTTATTTCTGTGTTGATTGATGCTTGTTCAAGCAAATGAACTTTGTTAGGTTATGTAAGGTCAGCAATTAAGTTTTATAGCGTGGGAGAGGCTGAGCCCCCAAACCAACTAGTGCACATACTGTATGGGATAAAATCAGACAGCCGGAGACAAGCTGTCAGAGGCAAACAGTGTTCTGCCTCGGTATTCTTCTAAATTAATGATACACTTTCTAAATTTGGATTGAGGGACCTGCAAAGTCTCCAGTTGGACACAGCAGGAAAGCCACAGTCGACGACGAATGTGAAAAATGCTCTGATTCACACAGACACTGCACAGATGCATGTCCTCATGTTTCTTTCAATTATACTAGCAGATATTTTGGTTACACTTTATTTTAAGGTGACGTACATAGTTACATTTTACTTACTCAGGATTAGGATTAGTGTTCGATTTGGGGTTAGTTACTTTTAATTATTCAAAACTTACTGTTATTACTATAGTACATGTAGTAACGTGTAACTACGCCACCTTAAGGTAAAGTGTTAGTGTACCTTAAGTAAAGTAACATTTTTAAATTTTTACATTTTTGTTAGTTTAAACAAAAATGAAAGTTCTGTCATCATTTACTTACCTTCATATCTTTCCAACCCTGTATGAATTTCTCATTGTATGGACAAAAACATTAAAAAGCTGATATATGAAGAATTCTTCTGCAGAAGTCTTACAGGTTTGGAGTGAAATGAGTAAATAATGACAGAATTTAAATGCTTGAGTGGAATTTCCATTTAAGATCAACAACACCCTTCCAATCCCCCCCTGGTCTCTAGTCCAGGCCTAGTCTCCAAAGACATTTAGTCATGGGGAACTGAACCAAATGTTAAAGCCAAACTCATTAATCATAGTGTGTGTTGGCTTCTGAGATGTGCCTTCAATGTTGCTCATCTTATTACTGATACTCTGAAGCCTAAATCCCTCCAGTTTCTCCTCCCTGCTTTCTCAATTTATCACTCACACTTTGTATTGTCTCTTCATGACAAGTCTGTGCTAATAAGGGCTGTCATGTGTGCAGAATGACTAGTCAGCTCTTTAGGGCTTTTTTTGTACACTAGTCAATGTAATCAATTATGTTAATCACTAATTTGTCACAGCAGTTTATGAATAGCAAACATCAAGATTATAAGATTTATGTTTCTTAGACAATTCCCAACCAGGGGTATTTTGTAAACTTCAGCAGATTTTTATTTTGATTTGATAAAGGGAACCGGTTGTTTTTGAAAGAAGTCTCTTATGCATTCATTTGATCAAAAATACGGTAAAAACAGTGATATCGTAAAATAGCAAAGCTGAATTTTCAGCATCATTACATCAGTCTTTAGTGTCACATGATCCTTCTGAAATCATTCTAAAATTCTGGTTTAATGCTCAAAAACATTTCTTTTTATAATCAACATTAAAACAGGTGTGCTGCTTAACATTTTTTCGTGAAACTGGGATAAAGTTTTTTTTAAGGATTCCTCCAAAAAAGTTCCAAAGAGATTCCAATTTTTTTTTTGTAACATTACAAATGTATTTGTCACTTTTGATCGGTTTAATGAATCTTTCTAAAAAAAAAAAAAAAAAAAAAAACTTTTATATATATATATATATATATATATATATATATGAAGAGTTCAGATGCAAAAGCCTCTAAATGCCATTTGAAATTTTCTTCTAAAATGATCATTTTTATCAAGCTTATATATTCAAGTTCAGTAATTTCACTTAAATGACAATTAATAGGTAATCCTCATTGCAATTTAACGGAAATTACTGAACTTAAATATACAAGCTTGATAAAAATGATCATTCTAGAAGAAAATTTCAAATGGCACTTAGAGGCTTTTGCATCTGAACTCTTCATATTTATATATATATATATATATATATATATATATATATATATATTACTGACCCTTTAACCTAGACTTACTAAACATACTATAACTTACTTTGAACTATCAACCTTATTTTTTAACACGAAGTAAGGTGTTTTCTGTGAATGTGCGAGACTTCCAATTTACTAGCCACTATAGAGAAATAACGAGAAGAAAGTTTTAAAGTGCAGTAAACTGTAAAACTGTTTGCGCTACAAACCAGCATGTTTCTAATTAAGACACTACATTAAAACAGTATGGTAAGAAATACCAGTTTGCCATATCAAGCAGCATAACAAGCTGTTTTATACTGCTAAAAATAACTGAGAGTGAATGACACCGGAAGCCAGACACAGGAAAATTACAAATGACCACCTAATTTTTTTCCTGTAAAATAAAGTGGATGGTTTGTGATTTTTGTTTTCTGGTTGATTGACTGTGATCTGAGATCAGATATTAAGGACGGAAGTGCTGTCAGCTGCAGGTGTGAGGTGTGTATGGGAGAGCATCTATCCTCAGTGCTGTTCATACTGTCATCACTGCTAAAGCCCTGGGGCTAACTGCATGTCAAGGGGCTCATCTATAGCTAGTAATAACAGATAATTAAGTCATTTAACTCCTCCCGAGCAGAAAAAAAAGATAAAAGGCAGGAGAATTCAACCTAATGTTCTGTAGAGAAAGTCATTTCAGTCACAGAAAAAGCAACGACTGAACAAATTGGTCCTGACACGTTCACGTTGTTGTGCGTTTCAGAGAAATGTGGAAAGAGGGCTGAATGTACTGTAACCGTGTGGTAATCCATTGTAAAGCTGTGGGTTTTGTTGGGTTGGAGCCCAATCCTGCACTCTCAAGGCCCTCCGGCACAATGTCTTCATTGCTTTTCTACTCCCTTCCTTCTCTCCCACAAACCAGATCACTCTATCTTACACTATATTCAGTTAGTGATCTGAGGTGTTTTGTTGAGCAGCGAATTTAACCACATAAATCCTCAATGGATCTTCATCTCAGTGACCTCAGAGCTCTAGATTGATGCTGAAAATGCCTTATAAGGGAAAATGTAGTATACAGACAGGCCTATACATTCTTGTTACATTCTTGATATACAAATGAAAATAATTTCGACCCATAGTCTGTACTCGTATATGCCATTATAAGTCCTTCGCTATGCTAACTTTTACTAATGTTGTTACATATGTTGTGCCTGAGAAAAATGCTGTAGCTCTGTATTTGCTGTCTACATAGATGCAGAGAATATTATGCAGAATATTATCAGATTAACAGTCGGTTCTTATTCTAAATGCAATAAAACAGCAGACATATTGAGATGCAAACTTATCTAAGCTAAGTGTGTTCATGTGGAACAGCTTCAACGATGTGGTCATTCATTTTTATCTCTTGATGTTTGTGTCGTCACAGGAGGTCCAAGTATTTATTACAGCCTCGGAGCAAGATGAGGTGACAGAGGAGCAGATTATGGCTGCTATTGCAAAGATTCGACCTCCAATGGAGAAACTGAGGAGACCCTCAAGGGCAATGGATAAGGAGGAGACTGTGGTAAATTACCATAAAAAAAGGGCCACCATGTATACAAGGGCTTCCTTCATTAACATAGAAGAAGTCTGCTTCTCAGTATAATTTATTGATGCACTTAAGGGACGTGGTCTAATTGTATCTCATTGATATTTTGGGTGTTTTGTTGCATCTGTGTGCCACACCTACAGGGTACAAACTACAAGAAGACAAATGCTGCCCTGGAAATGAGACGGATTAACAGAGACTCCTTCTGGGCACGTGCGGAGGTACAGCTTCAACTCTGTTCATTGCTGCACTTTCCCAAACATCCCCATAATGCTGCGGATTTTGCCAATTTTAACAAAAGACCAAAAATAATTCAATTGTATCAAGCAAGATTCCTCAAAAATAATACTATTAATAGAAATATCCCAGCCATGTCTGTAAGTAATAATGTACAGTCAACCAGCCCTTATACAAAAATATTTGATTTAAGTTCAATATTTGCAGCTTACCAGAATCAAGATAGCTGTGTAATAATTTACATTATAATCAGTTTGTTTATCACAAACATCTTGTTCAGACTCTAAAATTTCTATTCAGATGTAATGTATCACAAATCTGCGTAATGTGATGTGTTTTAGCGTGAGGAGGAGGAGAGAAAGGAGGAAGAACGTCGGAGGGCTGTGGAAGACAGACGACGCTGGGAGAGAGAACGAGTTCTAAAGGAGAAAAAAGAGGCTGAAGAGAGAGACAGAAAAATGAATGAAAAGCTACAGATGATTGAAGAGCAAAGGTTTGCTGTCCACCTGATCAAAAAGCACTTCTGTCTGAAGGACAATTCATTCCTTCAGCTTTATCTTCCTGTTGTTGTTTTTTTTCTCAGGAGGATCCAGGCTCAGCTTGAGGAAAAGGCTAAACATATGGAAAAAGCGAAATGGGTGAGTGCGTTAATAAGTGTATTCAGGCTATTTTACTGAGATTTGAAAAAGTTGTACGCTTTTAAACATGGTAATGAACCTATGGGTAAATGATCATGTACTGTAGTCATATCCTGTATTGACGTTGGGTTCTTTGTGGTTTGTTACAGATGGAGCAGCAGAAAGAGCATGAGGAGGACATGAGGGCCCGACTTAGACGCAGCGAGTCCATTGAGAAAGCAGCAGTTAGTTTTTCCATTTTTACGAATCATCCAAACATCTGACTGTACAACCTGAAATAAATCTAGTGAAGTTCTTAACTACAATAACTACACTATGATTTATAAACTACTCTTGCTCGAACTTTTTAAACTTTATTATTACACTATATTAAATCACAAGTTCCAAACACTGTTTTGTTGGTTTTACTTTTTTTTTTTTTGTGTATTCCTGCAATAATGTACTGTAATGCTGTTGGTCTTAGGCGAAAATGTATATATGAAGAGTTCAGATGCAAAAGCCTCTAAGTGCCATTTGAAATTTTCTTCTTTAATGATGATTTTTATCAAACTTGTATATTTAAGTTTAGTAATTTCACTTAAATAACAAATAATAGCTAATTATCATTGCCATTTAAGTGAAATCACTTAACTTAAATATACAAGCTTGTTAAAAATGATCATTCTAGAAGAAAATTTCAAATGGCACTTAGAGGCTTTTGCATCTGAACTCTTCATATATATATATATACTAAAAATAACCATATGTACTACATTAAATGGTTAGTTCACCCAAAAATGAAAATGATCCTATACTGAAGTCATCCTAGGTGATCCAATATGACTTTTTTCTTTCAGCCAAACACAATCAGATATTAAAAATATCCTTGCTCTTCCCACTTCCCAGCTTTATAATGGGAGTAAAGGCCCAAAAATAAGTGCATCCATCCATCATAAAAGTAATCCATAAACGGATCCAGGGGGTTAATAAAGACCTTCTAAAGCGAAGTGATGTGTTTTTGTAAGAAAAAAATATCCATAATTTTAACTTTTTAAACTGCAAAGCTTACGATAATGTATGTCCGCGTTCAGGAGAGAGTCGAGGTCAGGCGTGTGACGTAGGATGTAGGAGTAGCGTAAGCTTAGGTGAGAGTAGAGGTCTCTCGCTGTTCAAACAAATAGGGCTGGGCAACAAACTCAAGCTCCTCCGACATTTCTTTTTAAACATTCTCATTTTAGACTTAATTCATGACCAGTGTTTTGTTTTGCTCTATCCTCTTTGCAAGGAAGCCAGTGATTGTAGTTTATAAAGTTATAAATATGGATATTTTTCTTACAAAATGGCATTGCTTCACAATGCATCACATGCATATTTATTAACCCCCTGGAGCCATATGGATTACTTTTATGATGGATGCATGCACTTTTTTTGGTCTTCGAAATCTCATTTACTATTCACACTCATTATAAAGCTAGGAAGAGCTAAGATGTTTTTTTTTAATATAACTGATTGTGTTGGGCTGAAAGAAGGTCACATACACCTAGGATGGCTTGAGGGTGAGTAAATTATGGGATAATTTTCATTTTTGGGTGAGCGAACCTTTTAATTTCCAACAAGAAACATGTTCTAAGTGTTTTGTGTGGTGAAACTGAATTTTGGTTGGGTCACCACTTTATGTCCATTGTAATATGTCCTGAAGCAAAAGGCCCATTCATATCTATTCCTTTATCAACACACAAACACATTACTTGATTGAACAATGCTTCTTCTTTTGTCCTGTAGGAGGCAGCAGTACTTGTTTCCCAGCGCACCATCAATCCCAGGGAGTTTTTTAGGCAGTTATCTGCATCCTCACAAAATTCTTCAAGCCCCGGATCACCACAATCAGGTAAACAAGGCCTTTAGAAACCCACAATGCCTGAAACTTTTCAACTTACAGAGTTCATTGTATTTTTGAGGTTCTTTTGACTCATGTTCTGGTCCTCAGGAAAATCTCCATTCCGCCGCTACCAACGCAGTTTGACAGACACAGCCTTCATCTTTGAGAGGCTAACTCCTATTCTGGTCCCACATCCCCACACAGTCCCTCTGCTAGGTCTCCATTCTCACGCACCCATTCCACGTCCTTTAAACGTCCAACATCCCCACTTAGTCCACCCTACCAGATGATCCCCTCACCACAGCATCCTGAAACATCTCCTTCCCCATCACCTTCCCCACGCTCTGTCCCACCGGTGTCGCTCCCACACATTTTACCTGTCACCAGACCCCCTCCACCCCAGACGTCACCTCCCAGCCGGCCACCTCCTCAAGCCCCTGTACACGATTCCGCTTCCCCTGCGTCTCCAAAGCTGCTGGATAGTCACGAAAAGTAGAATCTTGCGCCTATGACGTTAGCAGGGAGAAACTCGCTGTCACAACAGAACATTTTTCAGCTTCACTCTCCGATAACCCACTGCACAATACGGGTAAGTTTACTTGGGTCTAAATAGTTGAAAATGGTCTTGTAGAATGACTCATCTTGACAATATCTTCCTTCCAGAGCTTGTTACTGGCTCTAGAATGCTGTGTGAACCAGAAGTGGACTTCATTGCCAAGACTGTGCTGGTCGAAGAAGATGAAGAAGAAGGTAGAGGATCCAGAGGAAACTTCAGCCATGTCAGTTCCGGCTTCAGATACTGTGATCACCACAAACTATGAAGAAGGAGTGAAAACCGTAGAGGAACAATTCAAGCCTGAGGGTGAGAAGAGTGTCATCAGCTCCCTGGTGGAGGTTGATGAGTCAGAGTCTGAGGATGAAGCACACTCTGAGGAGCAGCCTTCTGCACAATCTGAGGAATTCCACCCTAATGTCAAACACATGCCAAGAAACGTGGCACCGATCTCAGATGATGAAGTTGAGGAAGACCTACCAAAGAGCCCAGGTGATGGGAACACAGATGTGATGTGAAGAAATGCAGAATGTTTTTAAGGTTTTTTTAAGACATATTTCTTGTGCTGTGTGTTCAGAGTTGTGTGTGAACACATCAGAGTATGATCTGATGACTGAAGAAGATGAATCTGAATGTGGTAGACCACTGAATGGTACAGGCCATGAGCTAATTGGAGGTAAGTTATTGCATCAGTTGAATTCTTTCATCTCATTATAACAAAAACTTGATAATATTGATAATCACGATAGTTTTGGACACTATAATCGTGATATTCAATTTTCATACAGATCAGGGCAAAAGTTGAATTTCAGACTTAAAGGGATAGTTCACCCAAAAATGAAAATTCTGTCAGAATTTACTCACCCTCATGTCGTTCCAACCCCGTAAGACTTCCGTTCATCTTCGGAACATGAATTAAGTAAGTTAGTCCATAGGCTTCTTGAGGGATTGAAACTTGCCGGCCTCAAAAAGTTATTAAAGACATTGTTAAAATAGTCCAAGTGACTACAGTGGCTCAATCTTAAGTTATCAAGTGACGCGTATACTTTTTTTAAAATTACTTCGTGTTCCGAAGATGAACGAAGGTCTTACGGGGTTGGAATATATATATACTGTATACACACACACGAATTATGAGTTTTACACTTTGTTTTGTTTTTAAGAAGAGGATATTGATGTATCTGAGCACAGCACACCTGAGCGCTTCTGTTACACGGTTAATCGTGAGGAGGAAGAATTAGATGAAATCCAAGCAGAGTTGGTGACTGAGAATGGCGAAGTACATACAACACCACAAATCATGACTTCTTCACATCAATCTTAATGTGATAAAACAATTCAGCAGTACTAAATTTTCTTCCTTCCTACTCCAGTCATCACCAGAAAGCCTTCTGCGTGTGAGAGCGTTGTATGACTACCAAGCAGGTTAGTGTTGTTTGCTTCAGCAGCAGCGTTGTGTAGTTTGTCACGTGAGATGTCCTTTGAAACTGCCCTGTTCTCCACAGAGGATGAAAATGAGCTCTCTTTTGAACCTGGTGACATCATCAGTGATGTGGAAACAATCGACAAAGCGTGGTGGAGGGGCTCCAGCAAAGATGGACGCCAGGGTCTCTTTCCTGCCAACTTTGTAGAGACCATCTAAAGACGGTTCCTCTTCCCTCTTTTCTTTATACCATTTCTCAGGGACTAAGAACCGCAAAACCCAGTCTATGAGGATGTACCATGTACTCTGAGAATAAGAGTCACAGGAAAAGGGTTTGGAAGGGAAGTGTTCACAGGCACGACTCGGCCAACAATTCCTTGCGTTCCAAAACAAGCAGCCAAAGTCGACAATTGAGGTTTTAATGATCATAAACTGCAAGACTGAGGAGGATTCTCACATGATGTGAGCTGAGAGACTGATTCAGTACAATTTTGTTTACAATTGTACACAAATTATCATCATTTTATCGTTTACACATTACATCATTTATTATTTTGCATACAGCTGTTACATTTATCATTACTAAATGATACCAAAGGTGGTGGCGGTGTCAACTGGAGAACAGATTGCAGTTTCTCTTTTACACGTAAATCCAGCTTACAGTCGCGTAACATTTGGCCCTGAGTATGAGTTATTTTTTTTTTTTACAGAACTAGTGCTGTCATAATACCAGTATGAGACATTTTGATAACTTAGGTTATATAGTTGTTAAATGTAATTTTTTTTTTTTTTTAAGCAGAGATGTACTTGCAGAATTCTGAATGGTTTCATACCTGCAAAGGTGCGCAGACAATACAATAGTTGTCACTGAACATAGTAGACACCTGAGAAAGTGGTATCCAATGATACAAACTAGCCTAACAGATGGAATGAACCACAACTGTTTTTTTTGTTTTTTTTAAACTACTCTTTCAATATTGTGTCTTTTAGAGAAGGGTACTTCTCCTAAAGTTATTGTTTTAGTGTAATATTTGAAACCCCTCGCTATTATGAAAGCCAATGTAAATGAAAAATTGTTAAAAAAAATCTAAGTTTAAGTGTCTTATCTTATAAGCAGATAACGATATAACAGAAGTTGGCACCCTTTGCATGTTTTTAAATGCTCTGAACCTTCTGTCAAAATGAAATTCTTCCATACACACTACCGTTGAAAACTTTGGGGTCGGTAAGATTTTAAAATTATTATTTTTTTAAATTTCTTGTTCACCAAGGCTGCATTTATTTGATCAAAAAGGTAGTAACAACTGTAATATTGTCAAATATTGTTACAATTTAAAATAACTGTTTTCTAATTAAATATATTTTCAGCGTACATTTATGAATTTTCAGCATCATCACTTCAGTGTCACATGATCCTTTGCTGCTCCAGAAACGTTTCTTATTGTAGCAATACTAAATGTTAAAAACAGTTGTGCTGCTTAATGTTTCTGTGGAAGCCATGATTTTCCTTAATAATAGAAGGTTTTAAAAGAATATCGTTCATGTTGAATTGAAATTGTTTATAACATTATAGATATCTTCACTGGCACTTTGAATCAATTTAATGCATCCTTGCTAAATAAAAGTATAAATATCATTGAAAAAAATTACCCCAAATTTTTGAACGGTAGTGTACAATAACACAATGTTTACTGTTGTGTAAATACTATCGAATACACATTGTTTTTCTATGTAATTTATTTATCTCTGACCACGAACAGATATATTTCCTCCCAGAGAGGCTCAGTCTAATCCATTTTATTTGAGTAACCAGATTTCAGAAATAGGTACATTTTCAACTAACAAAATTCTTCTGTAATACTGTGGAATGTCATACTTCACACCTGACACACATTTACTCTACGCTGTCTGTTAGTAATTTCTTATTGTAATAAATGATTACTTTTATGTTTTATTCACATTCTGCGATGACGCTTTAATGTTTTTGAGTTATTGCACAGCCAGTACACTCAGGGCCGTATTAAGAGCTCACTGGGCCCCGGGGCTATGAGTTACTGCAGGGCCCCCCCACCACTTTAGGTCACCAATTACATGAGCTAAATGTTATATTATTATACGAGTCATTTTATCCATCTATGATATACTTCACAGTTAAGATATGTTACTTTTAACACGATTTTTTTATCATATCAAAATGTATTGCGACTAAAATTTCATAATTATTGTGACCAATTTCAATATCACCAAAAAATAATAGTAGCTTAAGAAAATAATCTCAAGCTTACTGATGACAAGAGTCACAAATTAAAATAGAACAAAGGCACAAATCGACTTACGAAAAACTTTAAGCACTGAATAATATTATATTATATAAAGTAATCAAATATACAATAGCCTAAGTTTTCACTATAAATTCAACATTCATTCTTGTTAATTTTGCAAAAGTAATTCAGTCAAATACAGTAACGTTAAATTACTTTCTTTCTGATGTTTGATTAACATTATTGACACACATGGCGACAGCATCTTTATTAGCAGCGTCTGTCACTTTGCAACCCGGTATCACGACAAGACGTGAAATAATCACGTTGGTCCACTTTGGAAAACGTGTAGATGTCACGGTTTAACCCCCTCAAACGTGAAACTTACACGTTTGACCTATTCTACACGCAATCGCCGCTGCCATAACGACCTATTGGTTTTCATTAAACCGAGAAAAAATGGAATTTTGTTTTATTGACGATCACTGAGAAATGTTCTATTAGCCTATTTAAAATGCAAAAAAGTATAATTTTTAAGGTGAAAATGATTCATTTGCCTTGATCCACGGCGAAAAAAACGTCAAAATGTCACGTTTTAATGAAGTAGCCAAATGAGTAAAACGTCTATTTTTCCGGCGTCCCCCAGCTCCTCGTTTAAGCAAAAGGTTCGCTAAAACAACGCATTACATCGACGTTAAACCACGTTAACCGTGTTAACCATAACCTTTTAAATACTCGACCTACCGTGGATGAAACTCCTGTAACTTCAGTGCCGTTAGCACCTTAGTGCTTACAGATTAGGAGACAGTGTGTTCGCTGCATTTGTAATGTTATACTTTTAAAATAGGTTAACATCCGGGTATCTCTCCACAGGAATGTGTTAACGCAAACGTGTAAGTTTCACGTTAAGGGGTTAAACCGTGACATCTACACGTTTTCCAAAGTGGACCAACGTGATAATTTCACGTCTTGTTGTGATACCGGGTTGCAATATATAATCTCCAGTTCAATTAGGCGAATATAGAGTTTAATCAAACACAAAAAGCAAAATTATACATCCATCAAGTTAATATTCAAACTTACCGAAAGTTTGTGGGGTCGATGATGACGCTGTGTTTTAAGAATCTAGAATGAAGTGAAGAGTAAAGGTTGATGTATTCTAATAAGGCGCAGGCAGCCATCATCTATTAGTCTGGTAGGAAGGGGGGGTTCACCTGCACCCGAAAGATATATTTTTTTAACCTAGTTTTTTGTAATCCTTAAGGTGTCTAGAAAATGAATTTTGATGTTCCACGCGCAAATTTTTGTCCCATATGTGATTTTTTGTATCATCTTTTGTGTCCGTGCTTGATTTTTGGCTGCGGAAAATGAAAACTTTAAATCTACATAGAATCTGAACAATACATCCTACAGACACAATCTACCCCATTTTCTCTTCGTCTTTGCATGAGGAATTGATAGATATGAGGATTGTCTTGATTAGATGATGTATAGTGCATAAAAACACCAAAAAATTTCAAAAAATGGTGACATTGGACCACTGGAACTCCTCCCCTATGGACCCTTCTGATATATGTTTTCTAACTTTTGTATTTTTACAGTCTTTAGGATGTCTAAGAAGCAAATGTTGATGATCCCCACCTGAAATATTGTCACATGTATGTATTTTCTGGCTATATTGGTTGCCACCCTGGATATCCAAAAAAGCACATATAGGCAGTCTGTTTTTCTCCTTTAGTTTTCGATTTGATAAATCTCCTCCATTTTTCATAACTGGCTATGTAAATTATTGTTGAGCACATGTTGAGCTTGTTCCCAACGTCAATTGTTGCACATTAAAAATATAACATAGATATTTTAATTAAATAATACATTTAAGATACAACGTGTTCAAAAATATGCATTAAATAAAAATCACATCATGTAATTAGGATTCACTGGTAATGTGAGGTTTATTTAACATACATTTTTAAACTAACTACACAAATACATAGCCTACACCATGCACCAACACACAATTAGAAAGGTCTTTCTTGGTGAAGAGCATTTAGCGTTATGGAAGCCCACATTAACTGGCAGATAATGGTCTCTCCAGATTTCTGTTAAGTTGAAAAAAAAAATGTTATGCTTAATAATTAATTAATTATACTTTCATTATTATTATTATTACTACTGGTGAAGGAATGTGTTTCATCTCGAGTGGGACAATCTGAACAAAATAACAACAAACATTCATGGCTCAAGTGTGGTGAACTGGACCGGTGGGATCATGATACAGGAGGTGAAACCTGAATTTGATGCCCCCAACTCTCTGGAAATTCCACGAATGCTCCCACTCTACGAGTGGAACAAGACGCGCTCCCTTATGGTAGATATACCTGAGACCCTAAATTCATCATCAAGTCTTGATTAGATGATGTATAGTGCATAAACACTCAAATGAACACCAAAAATGTAAAAATAAATTGTGACATTGGATCACTGGAACTCCTGCCCTTAGGACCCTATTGATATATGTTTTCTAACTTTTGTACTTTTACAGTCTTTATGATGTCTAAGAAGCAAATGTTGATGATCCCCACCTGAAATAACTATCTATCCATCATTAAAGTGCATCTGTCCATCATAAAAGTGCATCTATCCATCATAAAAGTGCATCTGTCCATCATAAAAGTGCATCTGTCCATCATAAAAGTGCATCTAACCATAAAAAGTACATCTGTCCATCATAAAAGTGCATCTGTCCATCATAAAAGTGCATCTATCCATCATAAAAGTGCATCTGTCCATCATAAAAGTGCATCTGTCCATCATAAAAGTTCATCTGTCCATCAAGTGCATCTGTCCATCATAAAAGTGCATCAGTCCATCATAAAAGTGCATCAGTCCATCATAAAAGTGCATCTGTCTATCATAAATGTTCTATTATTTAAAATGCATAATAATAATAATAATAATAATATTTTCAAGGTGAAAAGGATTCTTTTGCCTGGATCCACGCCGAAGAAAACGTCTAAATGTCACATTTTTAATGAAGCAGCCTAATGAGTAAAATGTCTATTTTCTTGGGCGTCCCCCAGCTCCTCGTTTAAGCAAAAGGTACGCTAAATAGAGCCTCCATTGTTGCCCTCAGGTCTATGTCTCATGGCCCTCTATCAGAATCCAGAGTTTTGAGAAGATTGGGGATACTTAATTTTTCGCCCCAAAAAAAAAACGTAAGGGGTAACACTGTCGTTTTTTTTTTGGTCGAAATTTTGATTTTCGATATCTCAGCTCTGGAAGGGTCTAGAGCCTCCATTGTTGCACTCAGGTCTATGTCTCATGGCCCTCTATCAGAATCCAGAGTTTTGAGAAGATTGGGGATACTTAATTTTTCGCCCCAAAAAAAAAACGTAAGGGGTAACACTGTCGTTTTTTTTTACGGGTCGAAATTTTGATTTTCGATATCTCAGCTCTGGAAGGGTCTAGAGCCTCCATTGTTGCACTCAGGTCTAAGTCTCATGGCCCTCTATCAGAATCCAGAGTTTTGAGAAGATTGGGGATACTTAATTTTTCGCCCAAAAAAAAAAACGTAAGGGGTAACACTGTCGTTTTTTTTCGGGTCGAAATTTTGATTTTCGATATCTCAGCTCTGGAAGGGTCTAGAGCCTCCATTGTTGCACTCAGGTCTATGTCTCATGGCCCTCTATCAGAATCCAGAGTTTTGAGAAGATTGGGGATACTTAATTTTTCGCCCCAAAAAAAAAACGTAAGGGGTAACACTGTCGTTTTTTTTTTCGGGTCGAAATTTTGATTTTCGATATCTCAGCTCTGGAAGGGTCTAGAGCCTCCATTGTTGCACTCAGGTCTAAGTCTCATGGCCCTCTATCAGAATCCAGAGTTTTGAGAAGATTGGGATACTTAATTTTTCGCCCAAAAAAAAAAAAACGTAAGGGGTAACACTGTCGTTTTTTTTTCGGGTCGAAATTTTGAGTTTCGATATCTCAGCTCTGGAAGGGTCTAGAGCCTCCATTGTT